AGCCACCCAGGCACCCCACCTCTCCAAGATTTTTAAATGGTTGCATAGTATTCTGAGTAGAAGTGTTTCATTTATCTTAAATAATGATTTTACCATCAGCTGTAGATTTTAGCACAGTATCTGAAAGGACAATCGGTAATAATAACTAGAGGGGCGCCTGGGTAGCTCCAGATGGTTAAGCGTCTGACTCTTGATTTCGGCTCAGGTCCTGATCTCGCAGTTTCCTGAGTTCAAGCCCAGCATGGGGCTCTGTGCTGACAGCGTGGAGCCTGTTTAGGATTCTTCCTCTTTCTCTGCCCTGCCCACTTGCACACTGTCTGACTCTCAAAATAAATAAATAAACTTAAAAAAAAAAATTAACTAGAGGTTATTTAGTAATTACTACTACCAGACTCTGCTTTATATATACTATTTTCTTCAAGCCTCACAATAGTCCGATAAGAACAGGTACTATTGGGGCGCCTGGGTGGCGCAGTTGGTTAAGCGTCCGACTTCAGCCAGGTCACAATCTCGCGGTCTGTGAGTTCGAGCCCCGCGTCAGGCTCTGGGCTGATGGCTCGGAGCCTGGAGCCTGTTTCCGATTCTGTGTCTCCCTCTCTCTCTGCCCCTCCCCCATTCATGCTCTGTCTCTCTCTGTCCCAAAAATAAATAAATGTTGAAAAAAAAAAATTTAAAAAAAAAAAAAAAAGAACAGGTACTATTATTTTCCCTGTTTTAAAGATGAGGGCACTGGGGCACAGAGAGGTTAGGTCATTTACAAAAGTTGCAAGGCTGGTTAGAGTCCATCAGGATTCAAATCCAGGAAATCTGGCTCTAGAGACTGTTCTCTGAACTTCTCTCTGTTATCCTGCCTTTCTCAGAAGCCTGCAATTATGTTGATCCAGGGTAACCTAAGTCCAGAATAGAAAGTGAGTAATAGTTCTCTCTTATTGGAAGTGTTCAAACAGCCTGCAGCACCATTAGGCAATGCTGTCGTAGAGGAAATAAGGAAGTGTAGTCCTAGTCTCTGGATGCCAGTCCATGGATCCTCTGCCTCAAGATCATCCAGGGAGCTAATTAGACACCATAAATTCCAAGTTCCAAGTCCAGAGGTTCTTACTAGGTCTGGGGCGGGACCCAGGAATCTATATTTTTAACAAGCTCTGTGGATATTAGTAGTCAACCTGGCTTAGATACTGTGGGCTTATAATCTTTTATCCCTACTATTATCTCCTAGGACAAGATGGCGATGAAGACTTTGGGAGTTGGGGTTGACTTAAGGACTGCCTTTAGCCACTATGCCTCTCAAGTTCTCTGGACATTGTTAGTATCGGCCGTCTCAGAATATAATAAGTGCTAGTAAATGCACGTCAGTTTGAATAATTATCCCTGTTGCATAACATTCTTCAATTTACAAATATACATCACGCACTATCAAATTTAAACTAATCTCCATGAGTAAATATTTATTGAACATGTGCTAGTTTTGAGGTATAACAATAAAAATATAGTCCTTTGCTTAAGGAACTGACTCATAGGTGAGATGGGGTGGACTCCCTAGCAATACAAGCAGTGCATACCAAAGCCGATGAGTAGTGTAATGGTGAGAGCTACAGGGGCTTGGGGGAAAGCCACCCTGCGTCCAGGCATACTCTGGATTCATGTGGAATGGAGAGCCAGCACTGGAGAGGAGACCCAGGGAAGCTGCATGAGGGGATTCCACACAGCAATAACACTGCCAGGACACCGCTTGCCCCACAGCCCTCCATATAGAGGCTATTTATTCTTCCAAAGCTGCTGCATCTCAGTAGGGAGAGGGAATCCATTTTCTTCTGGTTCCAGTGTCTTCTACTCTAGCTGCCTTGATCCTGGGCAGACATGACCTTTCCTACAGGTGATCTACCCCACTCTTGAGCTTCCAGGCTATTTGATCCCTTCATCTTGGACACTGGTCTTCTTCACTCACTTCAGGCTCCTATTCCAGTTCCCAAAGTCCACCTCCAGTTTTGCTGTTGGCCCAGACTGCTTCCCGAATCAGGAAGCTGACCCAGCACACTGTCCACCCTTTCTCATTACACCACCTGTAGCTCTTTCTCCTGAACACCTCCTAACCAGTGATCCCTCTGCTTTTTCCCTGTCCCTTTACTAGGACACTTCTCTTCCATTCACAATCCCTATTTATCCCTCACGTACTGTTGCACACCTCACTTTCTCAAGAAGGCTTTCCGTGACAAGGTTAGCTCCCCACATTGGGTACTTCTGTAGCATCCTGTACTTTCTCTTGGGCAGCATTTACCATATTTTGTCTGTAATTAGTGTCTATGTCCCCTGCCAGACTGAGCTCCATGAAGTCAGAGGTGGTGTCTGTAATACATAGAAAGTGCTCCATGGATGCAAGAGAATAGATGAAAATGTATACCTCTAGTCTAAAATTGTGGTTCTGAACTCAGTGGTGGAACCAGTGGGAAAGAGGAGGAGGATGGCTGGATACGAAATGAGGTAGTATTAGAATGAAGTGGAGTTGTGGGTGTTTTATTTGTTTTGTTTTGTTTTTCCTGACAGAGAGGAGGCCTCTGGCTCAGAGCCTTTAGCAGACAGCAGTTAATAACACTGCTTTGTTTTCATCACGTTTATGTGTACAGTTACTTTTATTTACAGATGTGATATAGACTCTCCTTTTAAAATAAATGGTTTAATCTTATGCAGGATTTAAGAAACAAAACAGATGAGCATAGGAGAAGGGAAGGAAAAATAAGATAAAAACAGAGGGAAGCAAACCATAAGAGACTCTTAAATACAAAGAACAAACGGTTGCTGGAGGGGTGTTGGGTGGGGGGATGGGCTAAATGTGTGATGGGCATTAAGGAGGGCACTTGTTGGGATGAGCACTGGGTGTTATATGTTAGTGCTGAATCACTGGGTTCTAATCCTGAAGCCATTATTACACCATATAGTAACTAGAATTTAAATAAAAAATTTAAAAAATAATTAAAAAAATGTATGAAAGCAAAATAATGAGTTGACTTAAAGAAAAAGCATAAATAATAATAATAATTTTGTATACTGATGTTGAAAAAAAAACCATTTTGGAAATGGCCAGTAGAAGAAAGGAATGAAATTAGGAAAATGCTGACTTGGATGCAGCCACAGGAACTCTTGATGACAGTCCTAGGGAAGACTGGAGCACTTTTTCAGCACAGTCGTTTCCTATCACCATTGAGAACCCATCATCTAGAATAAAGGACAAAAATCATGTCCACTGGTTGTTGTATGTATTGTACTGAAAAAGAGCTTGGGAGCTCACACGTCAGGGCCCAGCACAGTGCCTGGCTTATGACAGTCACTCAATAAATGTGATTTCCATTGTTTCTACTCAACACTCTGTCCCACTAGAGACCAGGATTCTCCTGCTAACATATAGGATAGCCTAAAGGAGCACGTCACTGACATGAATGGATTAAATCACATAATTTCCAAAATCCCCTCCAATGCCCAAGGTGTTTCCTTTAGTGTCATTTTACTTGGGTTTGGGAAGGAAATAGAAGTAAACACATGTGTTCAATCTATGTATAGCAAAGTCTGAAGTCCTTCGTTTTACTCTAAATAGTCCGTTCTTAAATGTTAAAGATATAGCAAGATTTAGAAAATTATTATTATTATTCAGCCAACCTTTCAAGGGCTAATGAAAATTAAATGACATTTACAACTTACTATGATTCAGACTTTGAGGAGTTTAATGGCTAAATACAATGATCCATTGCTTTTTATGTTCTGTGATCAAGCAGCCTTTGTGTAAGTATAAAGGGGAGTCATTTCCAAAACTAATTATTTTGGGCCTTTGTAAGAAATAAAGCTAGGCATTTCATCCTGTCTTTTAAAGAAATAGAAGTTGAAATTTTTCTTTGAGAGTCATTGATTTAAAAGAGGAACCAGATTAACAGGAAGATGATCATAATCACATAAACTCTTAGACTGGGATATTTTGTTCTTTGTTCATGGTATTTTGTTTGTCTGGCAATCTTTCCCTGTACTTTATATTTGCATTTCTACCAAGTAGATATTTAAGATGTCATTTCCTCCCTTAGCTTATTTGGCAGACTTTGAGCTAAAACTTGGTATTCTCACAAACTGTTAAATATGCTGTATTTTGCTTCTTGATATCAAAGAAACTATTAATGGAAAATTCTTTTGTCTAACATTCTTGCTCAAGAGGGAGATCCTAAAGCCTCAGAAGTCAATAACTGTGTATGTAGTAGTACGGTTTTCTTTCTAATATTGAAACTAACGAAAAAACTACCTTAAGTATCCCTGCATTATTTAAAGCTAATATTTTATGTACTTGGATTGCTCAAATTTTGAGCTCCAGGCTCATGATTATAATGTACCAGTTGATTTACATTATTGATATAACAACAGATGGTAATGACGCAGGTTGAAATAAAAGATCATTAAGCTAAATATTTTAGCTTTCATTGGCTCCCTGTTGCCTAAGATTTGTCAGAGTGAAATAAAATCACAGCCTTTCAGAACTAGAAGAGTCTTTAGAGAGGTCTCATCTAGTCTTTGATTTGACGGATGAGAAAACGGCTGAGGGAGAATACTACTTGCCAAGGTCTTATTGCTTGTTAGTAGCAAAGCTAGGACCAGAATCTAGGTCTGCCTGCCATTTCCTAATTCAGTGCTTTTTTCTACTGTCTCTCTGAGATTTTTAGGTGGGTGTTCTTTCTGTTTTGCTCCCTGATGTCAGTGCCAATTATTCTAATCAATTTCACATCTCTTCTTTTCTAGAACATAGACTTTCACCCTGTTGTGAGTCTTTGTTGGCTAAACTTTATATCTGGCTTTCTTTTAGGTTGGTCTCCACTCACATCTTCTAATCTTGAAGATTTCAAAATACAGCGGAATCTCCCACTTTTTTGGAAAACTCCAATACCAAGCCATAAATTACCCACCGTACTCTTGTTATAGTATAGAAGCTTTTGAGTTCTCCAAATCTAAACAAGATTTTCTCCCATTTTTCCATGAAGCCACATTGTTGTTTATTCACTTTAGTGGCGAGTGTTATTGTGCCAGCAGCTTTTGTTTTGGAAGATGTAGGCTTCAACCAAATGGCCCCACTGGGAACAAATCATAGCTCTTTCAATTCATCATTTCTTCCAAGCTTTGAACTCTCAGCAGGTTCCCACTCAGGAGACGATGTTATCATAGCCAAAGAGGGAACTAGTGTTTCAATTGAGTGTCTTCTCACAGTCGACCACTATGAAGATGTCCGTTGGTACAACTCAAAAGGACAGCAACTGGACGGCAGAGGCAGAGGTAACTAATCAAGGTTACTCATTTCCTGTTACTTCTGTCTTCTTGGTTGTATGACATGTTCCACAAAGAAAGCTCAATGATGTGCCATGGGAATAGTTAAAACTTTTGGAAGGCCTGGAGTATTTCTGATAGGTATTAGAGAAAGCAAAATAATTATAATTGCTTAACCAGAAGAAGAAAGAATAGTTGTAAATTTAAAAGGTGTTCACATGTGGAGCACGTGGGTGGCTCAGTTGGTTGAGCGTCCGACTTGGCTCAGGTCATGATCTCATAGTTCATGAGTTCAAGCCCCACGTCCGGCTCTGTGCTGATAGCTCAGACCTTGGAACCTGCCTCAGATTCTGCCGTCTCCCTCTCTCTCTGCCCCTCCCCCGCTCATGCTCACATGCGCACACTCTCATAAATAAACATTAAAAAAAAATTTTTTTAAGGTGTTCACTTGATGACAAGGAGCTATTGTCTCTCCTCTTGCTGAGCTGGTTTCCTTATTCATTGAAGGTAGACTACATCAGGGCTGCTGTAGACAGCTGTACAGGCTACGCACCGCACAACCCCTTTGACCTAGACTGTATTGTGCACAATACAGTGTGGTAGCCCTATGTGCATACAACAGGAAGGGGGTTGGCTAAGCTTAAGTAAGTTTGTCATAAATTTTAAAATTTTGTTTGGAAATGAGTTACTAAATATTTTAGAGAAAATCCAGGATGTTTTTTTTTTAAAAGATTATAGCTCTGTGCATAAAACTTAAAGTCCCTCTGAGAATTAGAAGGGCACGGAGGAGGAGCTCTGGAAGCCCTTCCAGCTCAATTTTTTTCATGCTATACCTTAATTTATTTGAAAACAGGAGATCTTCTCTTGTATTTTTTGCCTCTCAGTCTTAAAAATCGCCCAAACAGCATAATCAACCAAGGTGTCATTTTTGACAGGTTTTTATTTGATTGTGCTGTTAGTAAACCTGTGAACACATCTTAGAGCACTATTTCCTTAACTGGTATTCTACTGGAAAGATCTTTTTAAAGACTACTTGCATTAAAGTACCTCAAAAAGAAATCACCATGAAAATCAATGGGATAAAGATTAAATTCTGGGATACTCACAAGCTACACTTTCAGAAAAGGCCCTTCTTGTCTTTTTTGCTAGAAAGCTACTCTCACCTCTTGGAATATAAAGGATATTTGCTTATTCATATTAGAATGGAAAATGGAAGAAGAGACAGATGGTGTTTTCTTTTAAAATCTACGCTAAACATTTTAACTTTCTATAAACTGAATAACTGGCCACCAAGGGATTGAAGAGTTTGAACTGTTAGAACAGAACATTTTTAATCGGCTTCTGAAGAATGTAGATCTATTGAATCGGGATCTCTAGAGTGGTGCCCAGAATGTGTATTTTGAACATGATTTAGGGTTTCACATATGGACCCATTCATCTAGACTGTTATTTCCTTTGGCTCTAGGATCCAGACCAAACGCGTGTGAGATTTGAATTATTCAGTCAGTGTGATCATTACAGCCTGAATGCATAAACAAAGCCTAGGTTAGCAGGAGACCAGCCGAGTGGAATGGCAGTTTCATTTTCCTGTTTTGCCTTTACTTTGAAAACCACCAGCATCTATCATTGATGCTTTCAGTAACAGCCCTGGAAAATTTTATTAAGTTTTATGAATCTCTAGTGAGAGGAGTTTAAAGAGCATGTCAGTCTAGTATAAGGTTCATAAATCTTGAGCTATTATCAGCAAGTAAGCTGGAGAGTTTACATTGTGGTTGTAGTACAGTGGCTGATGAATGGAGTGTATGTACTTCATCATACTTTGGATTCATAGGATATCCTTCTCATAGCTCCCAAGTTCGTAGAACAGCAGCTTGTGGAATAATGAATATATTCATAGCTACATATTTCTCTTTTTTTTTTTTATGTTAGGGTAGTGATGGCTCCTAAATGTAACTGTAGAATTTAGATAAATTTTGATGACAATAAAAATGGGCATAATCCAGAGTGCTTACTAATTGATGTGCCATTCGTGTCAGGAAGGAAGACTTTGATTCCCTTTTTTAAGTTCCGGGCTGTTTAAATTCCTACTGTGGACATAAAAGTCTGCCCTTTCTTACGTGATGTATACAAGTAGCAGAACCTAATAGAAGACTTGAGTTAAGGCACTCTCATGAAGAGACGGAGTATTGGTAAGGTGGTCGGCATATTTAGCAGTAATATTCTTTATGCTGTAATTTTTTTGTGTCTGTTGGGTTATCAGGTGGAAAATGGTTGGTTTCTGATAACTTCCTGAATATCACCAGCGTAGCCTTCGATGACCGAGGGCTCTACACGTGTTTCACCGCCTCTCCAATTCGTGCCTCCTACTCCGTCACCCTGCGCGTTATCTTCACCTCAGGAGACATGAGTGTCTACTACATGGTTGTTTGCCTCATTGCCTTTACCATCACCCTCATCTTGAACGTCACGCGGCTGTGCATGATGAGCAGCCATCTTCGTAAGACAGAGAAGGCCATCAACGAATTCTTCAGAACTGAAGGGGCCGAGAAGCTGCAGAAGGCCTTTGAGATTGCAAAGCGCATCCCCATCATCACGTCAGCCAAAACTCTGGAGCTCGCCAAAGTCACACAATTTAAGACCATGGAGTTTGCCCGTTATATCGAAGAGCTGGCAAGAAGCGTCCCTCTTCCGCCCCTTATTCTAAACTGTCGGGCCTTCGTTGAGGAGATGTTCGAGGCCGTGCGAGTGGACGACCCTGATGACATGGGAGAAAGAATTAAAGAGAGACCTGCCTTGAACGCTCAAGGTGGCATCTATGTCATTAACCCAGAGATGGGCCGGAGTAATTCACCGGGAGGAGACTCGGATGACGGTTCTCTGAATGAACAAGGCCAGGAAATAGCAGTTCAGGTTTCTGTCCACCTTCAGTCAGAAACCAAAAGTATTGATACAGATTCCCAAGACAGCAGTCATTTCAGCCCACCTGATGATACAGGATCTGCCGAATTGAACTCTTACTCCAAAGATGGGACATATGAAAGCCATCAGCTGTGAGCTATCCCAGTACCTACGAAAACTGCTCTCACAAGAGGAACTTGTTTCATGCAGGAAGTAACATTTTTACCAAAAGATGACTGGGGTTTTCCCTCTTGTTAATATTAAGCACATCAGAATGTGAACTATTGCCAAAATCTTTGTAAAATTTTCTGTGTTTTTCATATCTATTTCTTAGTCATGTTTCTGGAGCTTGATTAAGTGACACGTGTTAAGATTTAAAGGAGCCTGAGAGAGAAACAAAATGGAGAAAGTACCACACTAAAAGTTCCATGGCTTCTCTTCTGGTCATGCTTCATCCAGCGGTTAGGGCTGCCATCTTGAGGTCTCAGTTTTCCCACCAATAAGACGAGGGATTTGCATTAGGTATCTAAAGTCATTTGTAGCCCTGTAACTTCTTACCTGTCCCCTTTAAACCAACAGAATTATCAGCACATCTCTAAATAAACCCTTCCCTAGACTTTAAGTCCTTTTTATGGAAAGGACCAAGCTCAGACTTTATTTTGTGATTTAGATTCCCACACCGATGCCGTGGCGCATAGAGGTCTGGGTGTTTTTCAGATATTTCACCATGTGGAGTGTGCAATTGTATGTGCTAGGTTGAATCTCTTTAGTGTCACCCATGTTTGTATTACACAGATATCAGGGAGCTAACTGCTCATTAATAAACTACTTTCCATGAGTACATTGGTCCTTTTGGGGAGTGTAGCATGTCTTTTTAACTTATCAAAGCAGCATTTAGTTTATTGAGCTGGCAGTGATTTCCCAACTGATCTCCAAAAGTGAGCAATTTGTTCTTAAGGAATAATGTCTTCAGTGCTTTTAGAATAAGGAACAACATCAGATCACCTATCCTCTATTTCTGGTAAATCATGGATTTTGACATTTCTGTTCATAGAATTTCTCAGGCTTTCCATTTTTGAAAGTTCTGGACTCTGTAATAGGGTTCTGTATTTGGGATCCCATTCCAGGGGGAAACTCAGAGCTGGGTTCCTCTTGAGACTTCTGTCAACACTCTTGCCCTCCTTGATCGTAAATATGGTGCTAAAGGCTGCATGCCTCCTTGTTTGTTTGGTTTGTTTTTTAATATTGTTGACGTTTTTATTTTTGTGTACTTCAGATATAGAATTCTGAGCTAGGACTGCTTTTGTGGTCTTTCTGAGAAGCACTAACCTGAAATAAGATTAGATAATGGTGTGTGGTATCTGTGAGTATATTAAATATGTAGACATAGATGTAGGTACCAGTGTATAGATATATACAAACACACAAATGATCTAGATATAAAGAGGGAGAAAAATTATGGATGGGGCCACCTGATTCAGCTGTGTATAATGAACACTTAAGACCGTATTTCTTGCCTGGCTGAGGCCTGATACAATAGAATTGTAAATACTCTTCAGAATAATTTCCTCAGCTACAGGAAGCTTGGTGTCATATGATTTTTAAGAACTTGGCTGTGGAGCTCCATTTGGTGCTTCATGTGTCTTCATTTGGCTTCTGATTATCGAAGCATTCCTTGAACTAGAGGTTCCTGAGGGAAATGTTCAGAGGAGGTTTTATCAGGATTTTAATTTAAGGTTTCGTATGGAGGAAAGCGAGGAGATAGAGAGCGTAACCAGATAGAACTCATACCTCCCTTTGTCCAGCCTTATCGGAAGTAATACATCTCTTCTGGATAGCGTGAATGAATCAATGTGTAGTTTTATCAGATGGCATTACGGATAAAGATGATAATGCTGCCTTTTCTGTCTCTCAGGCTGTTTCCATGGAAACCTCCAGAGCCAAACAAAAGCTACCAATCATTTAGCCAAAGCTTGCCTTGGCTCGTAAACCTGCATGTCTTTAAGGAATGCTGTTTTCATACCTTTGGCTGTGAGAGCAAGGGCTCCTCACCTTACTCTAGATTATAGAACACTTTTTGCCTTCCCAGGCTGTTTCTTTTGAGAAATTAAAAATGCTAAAAGTCCCTTGTCTGAGGTCTGTTCCCTGAACATCCCTCCGATCTTCGGATAGTACCTCCAGCCCCATCCCAGTATAGCGACTTTGCAGTCATCTAGACTCATGTTAAAAAGAGAATGGATTTATCCCACCACCTGTTCTCATGATGGACATGAGCATCTGGAACCATAGACATATTTAATGGTCACAGCCCTGGGAAACAGGACTTTGGAAAAATATAACAAATAATGAAAAAAATCGATATGTTTACACAAATACTGTATAACAATTAGGTATAGGCTACTCCAGTTTGTTCTGGTTAGATTATTTTAGAAACACAGTGGTGATTTAATTTGATGGCCAAAGTAATTGGATCACTTTGGATATTCCAGATTATGGTGCCAGTGGTAAAGAATTACAGCAGTCAGAATTTAATTGGAGTTGGTCTTACTTTCTAAAGCTAGTTTCCAAGAGGAAGAAAACGACACATTAATATTTTCTGTATCTAATCAAATACTCTTCATATATAATTAATAGTCTCATGTTCTGTTTTTATAAAATCCTTAACCTTTTGAACTTAAACTACAGTCTAAAAGTCTTTTGACAACTGTGGTGTAATTAATCTTTTGTTTCACTGGATTTTATGGTTAGTGAAAATGTCTTTACTCAGCAAATGTATTTAAATAGTTCTCTCATCTCATTTATAAATTTTGTATTGTGACTTACCTTATTGTCCTTATGAAATGACAGGATGGCTTTGTGAAATAAATTTACCAAAAATAGATATGTCAACATTTTTATAGATTCTTTGCCAGCTGAAACCAGACAGGCATCTTTTGAGTTGATATCCCCGTTGAGTTTTAGCCTATCCTCAAAGTTGAATCTGTTTTGATAGTTAAACTCTTGATTCAGAACCAGTGAGCACTTATATTTACTACCAATTACCTTGATATAAATACCTTAGGAGTTGCTGATCTGGAATGGTGAAAAGGTTCCTGGCTTCTTTGCCTCGCTTAGCATGCATTTTGAAGTCAAAGCACGCTGCTTTCTGTGTGGTCCTCCAGCCTCAGTGAACCCCTGGTGCAGTCCTCTCCATGTCCTCCCTGCATGTAGTTTCACCCTAGATCAGACTTTGTCTCCCTTGTCCCAGAGTGTCACGGGAGCATGGCATGCTTGTTTTCCAGAGCACAGCCGGTCATGGGTGCTAGCCTTGTCTCCACACACCAGCACTTCTCACACAAGTATATCATAATTCCTGAGTCACCAGTAAGAGAACACAGCCTTTTCTCATATAGGTCGGGAATTTTGAAAATGCTCATGTTTATACATAAACTCCTAGCTTCTCAATGTTCTCAACATTTCATAAAAGTACATATTATTTCATATGGTTCAGATGATGTTTGAATGGTCACCATTTTAATAAATACTTACATTATAATTTTGTCCTTTCTTTAAAAAAAGTCATGCTTGAATATAATTTATTAAATGTTCAATGGACTGTTATTTCATTTGTCTGAAATCTTCTATCATGATCTTCATTTTTATGTGTGATGGAACTTGATGTTAATGATTTTAAACAGGAGTCAAAATGAATTCAACTTGGATTCTACCATGGCTCTGCATTTTAATTTTACAAATACTTAATATGCATCTACATGTTTTTGATACTATGGGCCATATTGAGATGGGTGTCTTGCCCACAGTTACCATGAAGATGCAGTTACCAGACCAACTGTAGCAATTATTCACTTCTGAGATAAAGCATTCCTGACAAAGACAAGAGCTTGAGCAAAGACCTAAAGAGGCTTTAGCGTGTTTTGGAAAACATGATTAGTATGTAAGGTCTGGTGAGATTTGGCACGTGGGAGGGGTACCTCTGGTACAGGCAAATGCCCGCAGTCCCATGGGAGTGAAAGGTGATGACAGAAAAGCACAGGATCTCAGGAGACAGGCAAAGGGAACAGGTAAAGGTCAACTCACTACCTAAATACCACAGATCTGTCACTCTTAGAATGAAAACCTAGTTCCTACCTCCCCATGGCAAAAGGTCACTGGACTTAAGAGTCCTGATACCACTACTAGCCATGTAACAATGTGATTTGGCCTCTCTGGACTTAAGAATTGGAGTTGTCGATACCTAGCTCACAAAATTAACATGAGGATTAAATAAAGCAACATGTAAGCAAACACTGTGCTAGCTGTAACCTGCCATAGAGTGTAAGGGGCCAATAATCATGCATCCAGAGTGTCAGCCTTGTTAGTAGCCATGACTGGTTACATTTAGACTCAACTAAAAATTCCTCCAGTTCTCTCTCAGTCACAGTTAACATGTGGCTGCATGCCACAGAAAACCAGTTGTGGTGGCTTACCCAAATAAGAGGTTTATTATTCTCAAATAACAAGTCCAGACGAAGTCATTCCAAGGCTCAAGTCCAGCACTAAGGACTCAGGCTAGTTTTAGATTCCTCTTCACCCTTAGCATGTGGCTTTCATCCACACGGTCATAAGATGCCTCGGATTGGGCTCCCAGGAGGGCCTCAGACCAGGATTCATCTGCAAGTAGTTTATTTGGAAGGTGATCCCAAGAAGGTAGGAGAGTAGGGAAGTGAGACAGGGAAAAGAAAGCCAATCCAGGGTGCATTAACGAGTGGGTTACTGATTTGGGCAAGTGGTGTTAAGTCCCACTGGTGTTAAGTTCAGGGAGTTCTGTCTGCCCCCAGTGTATGTAGTTCATGCCTCAAAGCTCCCACCTGAAAGCCAAGAAGCTCAGATACGTATGCACCAGCTCCTACCTGTCATTGAGGGCTATTCCCAAGTTCACTAACTGGCACTTTCAACCTGCCACACATAGGCTGGCATGATCCTATAACCAGCAAAAGCCCTCAGTAGAGTCACAGGAGCTTTCAGGAGGCAAAGAACTTGAGCAAAGACCTAATATCCTGTTGAATATAGGAATGGTGAGTGTCAAGGGGTTATGGATGGAACACTGACAACACTTGCTACACAGGACAGCTCCTTCACCTTCAGTAACATGTCTATATTGCAGGCAGGGGGAAGGT